CCCCAAAACCCCAAAACCCCAAAACCCCGGGAAGTTAGAGGAGGTAAAATTCAGTGACTCATTAATTTTTGTCTAGAAAAGATTAATTTGCTATGATAAAAAAATAAATACGTTCATACTTGAATTAAAGGGTACTTGCGCTCTATTTTAAAAGTTTAATTATAGATTGTAGTATTAATAGATTTATAATAATATACACTTAATACCTCTACGAAGTGAGAAAGATAACTAACATGCCTAAGTCTACCGCTATAAAGAATATCAAGCAGTTTAAGTGCCACTATGAGAACTGCAATAACTCATACACTCGCACCTTCAGACTAAATTTTCACATAAAAACTTTTCACATGGGCATTAAATAAATCTTTAAGTGTCAGCAATGTGACAGAAAGTTTTCGGAGAAAAGTAATTTAAAGATTCACTAAAGAAAACATTCGGGGGAGAAACCCTTCTAATGTGAGCACTGTCTGCGAAAATTCTCTGCTATTGGCAACATGAAAGATCATCAAAGAAGACACCTGCAAGAAAAGTAAGAATTTAATCTATTTTTAAATTTTACTTTAGACCGTATACGTGCCCTTGCTGCAATAAGAAATTTTATCGATAATACTTATTAATAACTCACGCAAAGAAAATGCATTCTGATTCTTTTGATTAAAACTAGGAGTTATTCAAACAGAAAGCTTAAATTATGTTCTCGGAAGGGGAAGAAGAAAAAATGGAAGTCGATACAGATAAATCTACGGTGTCTACAATTGATCATAATACATCTGATCTAAAATATTCAGTGATTGAAGCCATGAGTTCTCCAGACTAATAATAAAAAGATATGCAAATTAAAAATAAAATGTAATCGGTTCCCCAGAATCAATACGTTTAAACCGATCAAATTTTCCTACCGCAGCCTACCTACCCGATCTACAGCTTCAACGGCATTTAAATTTGTGATTAATTCAATCCAATATAAATGCCTGCGCAAAATAATTTTATACTTTTAAGAGGATTCTCTCAACCTACTTAATCACTCATCTATACAACTATTCCGGCAAATTCAAAAATCTAATTTATCACTCCCTATCATTATTAATGAAGCAAGAGTGGCAAACTAGTTTAGCATTTGCAACTTATCTGCGAGAAGTCGTGAGATAAATATAGTCACAAAATATTTCTGTCAACAAGAGAAATATTTTGGGATCTTATGATGAGTGCCAATCTATAAATAAACTTTTACTCAGCCTTAAAATTCCAACTTTAATTTAATTAGGCAAATCTTTATTTCAAATATTCCCAATTTCTTAAAAATAGATAAAGATGGGGTTTTGGGGTTTTGGGGTTTTGGGG